CCCCCCCCACCATCACTAGCTATCCAAAAAGTCAATGATTCAAAGTAAATTTTACAGACCTTCGTAAGCAAGTTCAGCCTCTCAACATTTGTTTGTTTGTTTGAGTAAAGAGAAGCACATCGACACAACAATGATCATTTAGTGCTGGGGAAAAGTAAGACACGCAGACAGAAACAGAGGGAAAGTACAGAAGTAGGACATACCAGTTGCGCCCTCCAACTACCCGCTGTCTCTGGACGGCCGCCACAAAAATTTCACAGACTTACACATAAATTTGCACGCTCCACTACAGAAAGATTTTCGATGTGCAGAGCAAAAAAAGAAATAGAAAACACATTTGTCTCGATAAGTCACGATAGTTGTCACTTTTGTGCAGCCAGTACAAAAGGGAAATTGCAGGAGAGAGAAAGCCATATGTGAGGCATCGAAGAAACAGGTATTTTTTGGCCAGTTTGGCATTTTTAATTGAATTTTTGTTTTTTCGCTCAACACCTTTTCATGTCCATATAAAAACTCATTTCCATCTGAATTTACTGAAAAACGATTACAGGCACAAAACAACATATGTAAATTTTCAGTTTTCAAGGACTATTCAACTATTGAGGACGCCAAAATTTGGCGGCCATTTTCTCTGAAACCAGGGGACCCCCACCTCCTTCGAATGCAAATATCCCAACTTTTTATTAAAGATAAATGGGAATTTTTTTCATTGAAAGCGAGGCAAATGAATCAGCTATTCAGACGATACCAATAACTCCACATGCCCAAAAATTGACGAGCGCCAGATTCCACAGCGTTGTGACACATGTACAGGTGTTCCTTTTCCCCTTTTCTCATATCTCTCGGAGGACAATTTTCTGCCCATCATATCTCCCCACCCCAACCCCCCCTCCCAAAACGCAGTACGTCACCACATCAATGCAACATGCTTCTCTTTGTCCCAGCTAAACTCAATTCTGGTGCTCATATGACTTTGTGCAGTTGTGAGCGCCGTAAAAAAACAAACTCTACTAAAACAAAAAAATAAAAAGCTTACTTTATGATGCGGTCTTTGATGATGATGTTCCCACTGCCAGGTTTGAGGGTCATGGCTTTCAGGTTATTGCTGGAACCTGAAATATACAATAGAAATAAGCACAAAAATCACACTGAAATGGATGTACAGAAAAGTGGGAAGACATGGAGTGACATCAAGCGACTAGCCCAGGACAGGGAAATGTGGAAAGTGTTTGTTCGTGGCCTTTATCCTGATACAGGGTGAGAAAGGCAGTAATGACGACAAAAATCATTAAAAATTTTTCTAAAAGTAAAACTGTAAACCATCGTGGCAATTTGCCAACTTGGTACACAAAGACAAAAGTCAGTTCAGTGCGACCCACACAGGCTGTAGGGGGTGGGGGGAATTTTGCATAAACTCATACAGTGAAATCCTGAATCGATGAATTCTTAGGGCAAAAATGTTTGACTTTTTCCCCCCCTCGAACACAGTACATCATTTTTATCCCTGTTCACAGTTCAAATTTATTTCAGAAGAGCGCTAGTATTCATTTCAGCTGAGACAAAGAGAAGTGCTAAAAAGACAGAACCCAAAAAGCATACAATAGCAATAGTATGTACTTAATTCACAAAAGAATGGAATTACATTTCATGGAAAATATGCAGTCAGGTTGAAGAAAGTAGCTGTGATGCCTCATAATAAGTTCGATACACACGGATAGTCTAGCACAACAATCATACACTGAAAACAGCAACCGCTCATAGTGGATGTTTATGACACTACTGAATCATAACTTTAATTGCTCATCCTGAAGAGTACCAAATTAATACATCCAAACAAGGGAGACATAACTACGGTAATTAACGATAGTGAACCAAACACAGTTATTGCTCATTTAACAAATATTACAGGGATATATTACAGCAGCCACTCTCAGGTTACCAGTCATGTCAAAGGTCTTAACTCTTCAGCAACAAGCATATAAATAGCTAAATATCCATTACAGCACAGAGATGAACAACTTATTTTCCAGACATTACACTTTTGCCATGCAGACATTTTTTCTTTGCCTGAAAGTGCATACACCTTCACCTCTGTTGGAAGAGCTGATGGAAAGTCAGGAAAGAAACGGCAACAGTGAGACAGATGTGAGCCACAAAAAGAGGCAGACAGAAAAAACAGAGAAATTCAGAAACAGAGCAACAAACAGAGACAAACAGACACACAGCGACATAGAAAGAGACAGACATACAGCAACATAGAGAGACAGACACAGACAGAGGAACGGAGAAATTCAGAAACAGAGCAACAAACAGAGACAAACAGACACAGAGAGACAGATACAGAGAGACATGGAAAGAGACAGACACAGAGAGACACGGAGAGAGACAGACACAGAGAGACATGGAAAGAGACAGACACAGAGAGACCCGGAGAGAGACAGATACAGAGAGACATGGAGAGAGACAGATATATAGAGACATAGAGAGACATTGAGAGAGACAGACACAGAGAGACAAGGAGAGATAGGCACAGAGGAAAAAACAGAGACAAGTAGACACAAAGAGAAAGAGAGAGAGGCACAGAGCGGCCAGGAGAGACAAACACAGCAACAAAGAGAGACAGACAGAGGAACAGAGAAATTCAGACACAGACAGACATAGAGATACAGACATAAAGCAATGAAAAGCGAAAGGAACAGAACAAATAAAAAGAGACAGAGATGCAAAGAGCGAGAAAGCGACATCACTAGGCATTGACCAATCAGAGACGAGAGGAAGAAATTCTCACCACGTCCTCCATTGTCAGTGTTGACCATGGTGCGCTCGTAGCGTCCGCCATTGAGGTCATTCAGCACCCTCATCAGTTCTGTCACTCGGGCAGTGAATCTGGGAGGAAGGAAGGATTACACAGGCGTCAAGTTTCCATTACAAGAACCCAACAGTTCATTTTTTTTCTTTTTAGTTTTAGTAGAGGTTTTACGGCGCTCGCAACAGCATAAGGTCATATAAGCGCCAGAAGATTAGAGGTGTTACAAGAATAACAAACATAAAAAAGAAGAAGGGGAGATAAGGATGATAGATGTTTGATAGGAAAGAAGAAGCAAACCACGCCAGAGCACCCGCCAACCACCCACTCATTTTTTCTAGGAAAATATTGTATAGAATGCAAATCAAAGAACACAGCCATTCTAGTTAGTTTTAGTAAGGTTTTATGGCGCTCGCAACTGCATGCCATAAGAGTGTCAAGGGGTGAATGTCAACAGAGAAGTCCAAATGGGGAATCAGGCTTACTCTGCTCACATCTCTAGCCTCAACAGCACAAAGTCTGCTTCGGCTATCAAGACACCCCGGAAATAGCAGTTCACAAAAGAGTGACAAACATACAAAAGAAGTAGAGGAAAAATGACGACAGTAAGGATGAGGAAAGAAAAAGCAGCAGTTCCCCCTATATTGTTCCGGCACAGTATGAGCAGGACAACATTGATAAATCATCCCATTTACAATTCTACAGCCATTCTTTATCAAACGAAAACACTGGTTACGATAATGCAAAGTCTAGGGGGAAAAACCTTTGTAAAGTAAAATAGGAAGGCAAAATGTTTTTGTGTAATTCTCATAGTGAGCAGGTATTTGGACTACATACTGCTCAACATTTGAAAGGTTCTGCATTAACACTAACAGTTTACCTAAGGCTCATACACTGAAAAATCCTTATGTACCGCACCAGTCAGTTTAGAATGCTGAAGCAATGGTACAATTTTTTTCCCAAATGCTTTAAAAATTCACACAGCTCAAGAAACATACTTAAAAAATTCACACAGCCCAAGAAACATACTATAAAAATTTACAGAGGTTAATTAACTATTCAGCTATCATAAAGCACAACTTCCTCTGGTATTTACTTCAGTGTAGTGGGTCTGTTTGTTGTTAAGTTATGTTTAGTGTGCCTGGTCGAGTCAGCAACTTCAGAAGTCGCCAGCGGTAATGAACACACACTACAGCCTGGAGACCAAAGTCACCCATGGTACTGCACGTGTTGAAGTATGAACGCAAAAACTGGCCTGTAACTTTCTATAAAGAGAGCAATTTTTTTTTCAGTGAACAGTACAGACAGGCTTGTATCACGCTCCCAGTAAAGTGGGTAAAAGAGCAATACATAGTGACTGGAGGGGAAAAAAAACAAAACTGAAACAAGGCCTTACCCCCGTCACTCAAACAATCAACACAGCGACTGCTTAATACAAGACTTCGCTTTACGCCATTAGGAAAAGTGACAATTTGGAAAAGTGGCAGTTTGGAAAAGTGACAGTTTGGAAAAGTGACAATTTGGAAAAGTGACAATTTGGAAAAGTGGCAGTTTGGAAAAGTGACAATTTGGAAAAGTGGCAGTTTGGAAAAGTGACAATTTGGAAAAGTGACAATTTGGAAAAATGACATCAGACGGAGTCGTACACTGAGCAGTGGGGATGTTGCTACCTCAGAATTACAAAGATCTCTCTGACATTTTTGGCCGTTTTCAGTTACTTGGACCAAGAGGTCCGAAATCAAATAAATGTTCTGTCTGCTCTACCAAAATCGTAAGATTATTCAGAGTCATTATCAATAGATTCAAAAAATTGCGTTCGAATAAAGCTTGACATGTTGTGAAACTCAAACATTTTTTCGTCATATTTGTCAAAACTATGCACTGAGCAGATAAAAACTTTGTAATTCTGAAGTAGCAATGAGTCACGACACGGTGGAATCAGGTGCTTATGGAGTTATTGGTATCATCTTAAAGCTTGCTTTTGGTGAAAAAAATATCCATCTATTTCTGAGTTGAGATATTTTCAATTGGAGGAGATGGGGTTGACTGGTGTCAGAGGTAAAATTTGTTTGAAAAATTGATTAACATTTTTTGGTAAAATCCACACAGAAATGTATTTTTAAGAAGACACAAAGGTGCAAAGCTAAAAAAAACCCAACGAAATTTGATCAAAACTGTCGAACAGCCGGAAAACTGTCAGTATCTTAAATTTGATTATTTTCACGAGCGCCTGATTTCACCAAGATGTCACGCACATTATTTGAAAAAAATCTGCTCAGTGGACGTGTGATGACTCTCAGAACATTCGACTAACCCAGCGAGTCTTGTAAGCTCTCGACCAGCGAGAACAATTCTGCCAATGGCCTCAGCCATCTTGACCAACATACGTCCACTTCTGAAGTAATCCTGGGGAAGTAAGCACAGCACAGAGATATTCAGACTCTAACGAGGCAACAAGTATCAAAGCTAGATATAAAGGTGAAGCCAAGACAAGGACGTGTTGAATCCAAAAAACTTTAACGTAAAAATAACTAATGACTTTGCAAACCAGAAAATAAAACTACAATTTCTGAAAGATGTACCAAACTGCGCTAAAAAATAATCCACTTCATAGACAGATGATTATAAAAGAATATATAGCTGCAACTTCATAATGACTAGAAATATGTCATAAATATACATGTTGAATCCATAAAACTTTAATATAAAAATAACTAATAACTTTGCAAACCAGAAATAAAACTACAATTTCTCAAACATGTACCAAACTTTGCTAAAAAAATAATTCGCTTCAGAGACAGATGATGATAAAACATAAAGCAGCAACTCCATATTGACTAGGATAAATATACCAATTCAACTTGATCAGCGAGGAAGTTAACAATCATCATTTATCAATATGAGCCCTGAAGTTACAAGAGGTACAATAACTGATATTATGAAGAGAAATGTGAAAGTACAAAAACAAAACAAAAAACGTACCTCAAAGCGCTCAGCGTGCGTAGAATTTTTGTGCCTGGGATGATCCAGGTTGATGAATGGTCTGCTCACAACTAGATATCCTACCACTGTGGCCAGGTCTAAAGAAAAAACAAATCTCATTCACTTACAACAACGGGAGAAAGGGCATTTGAATATCAAGGCCCTAAGATCTGGAATGCTTTGCCAAGTAATTTAAGAGAGATCAAATCCTTTGATTCATTCAAATATCAGCTGAAGCCATTTCTGTTTTTAAAATAATTAATAAGATGAATATTGGGAGAGATTTTCTTTTGGTCAGAACAGGTTTTTGTTACTGTTGTATTGTATTGTCAAGCGCTCAGAGCCTGTGTACTTTAATCGGGGTTGAGCGCTGTACAAATGTCATTTATTATTATTATTATTATTATCAATCATACAATAAATACAGACAGATCTAGTGAAATAATTGTTACATAAATCTCTGATCGGTCTAACTGCATTTTCTTAGGCAAACTGAGTTCATCAATCTCCCTTCGCATCCTGAATATAAAAATATTACTTCAATGGACCCAAATGCAGTCTACCTTTACCCTTCTGCACATCAAAAGCACAACTAAGTGTGTGGCAGTGCAAATCTAACACTCAACATACAAAAGCTCCGGTGCGCACATCTTGTAAAGGCCCAGGGACCCGCGGCTCACGGGCTCAAAAATGACAATGAAAATAAATTCCATTTCAGAGGTTTTTACGAAAAGACGGCACATTTTCATGAGGGCTCAGTTATCAACAATTGTTAGTCGGTAATACCGTTTGCCGGAACTTTGACCAATACTCACATTTGGCAATGATGTTGTCGATGAAACCCATCTGGACCCTGAAGAAGATGAAGTTGCGTAGATGCTCCACCTTGGAAAGGATACCAGAGGAAAATCTTGATACAAAGTAAGTTTAAAGAAAAAAAATTTCAGATGCAAATCTCTCTTTGAGGACATGAACACAATTACGGTCAGATAGTCCTGGGAAAAAGCAAGAAAGGCCGACAGAAACAACAGGGGAAGGAAAACAGTAGAACCTGCCAGTAACAAACACAAATCAGAATGACATTAAAAGTACAGGCTCAAAACAGTAAACTTTAAACAGCCCAGTTGAGAAAATAAATCTCTTCACTAAATTCCCCAGAAGTAACATTCTGTCTTGAGTCTGTGATATAAAGAATAAGTCAACAAACACACCAACAGACAAAGTTTGACTTTCGAAGGCAAAGTTGTGCAGGAAATTCTCTAGCACCCAAAACATTTCAATAATTAAGTTTTTTCCCCCATAACTTTTTAAAGTGATAGTCAACCCACAACCAATATGGAAGATACATTTTTAAAAGAACAAAATAACTCCACCCCTTTGTTAGATAACATCACCAATGATTAGAGTGACTGAAATACCAGATCCAATTCTCCAATTGTTCCACTGGGAACATGATCAGAAAGAAAATACATATTGCTGGCAAAGCTGTTCAGCTGTTGTCAATCCAGAAAACAAAATTTTTCAGGAAAGAGAAAAAGATTGTTTCATTCTTTTAACAACTGTACCAACATGAAAATCTTTCTTTTTTTTTCCTTTTTAAAGCAATTAGCACTTACAGTTTCGAAGGCTCATAAAGTATAAAACCCTCAAGAACCGCACCAGTTCAGAACGCTGAAGCCGTGGTAAAATTAATTAAAATTTAAACCCCCCCCCCCCAACTAAGCAGCCCAAGAAACACGCTTTAAAAATTCCTAGAGGTTCATCAACCATTCAGCTGTCATATAGAGTGACTTCCTTTGGTACTTACATCAGTGCAGTGTGTCCATTCTCTGTTTAACTATGTTTAGTGAGTCTGGTTGCGTCGGCGACTAAAGTTGCCAGCGGTAGTGGGCACATACTACGACCTGGCGACTAAAACCGCCGACTGTACTGTAAGTGTTAAACTTTAAAATTTAACAAAATATATTTCGAACACGCGCAATCAATGCCACTGATTAAGAAACTGCAATAAAATGAGATTTCCAAAACGTTGGGCTCAGTACATCTAAACAACGTGTTTATTTTAGTAGAGGTTTTACGGCGCTCGCAACTGCATAAGGTCATATGAGCGCCAGAAGATTAGAGGAGTTACAAGAGAGTAACAAACATAAAAAAGAGGAGATAAGGACGATAGATGTTTGATAGGAAAGAAGGAGCAAACCACACCAGAGCACCCGCCAACCACCCACTCTAAACAGCTGGCCGACGATATCAAAAGAAAGAAGTTAGAACAAAAAAAAAGGGTTACAAGTCAGAATGACAAAGTTCTGTCTGCTCAGTACCTAGTCTTGGGAAACTTGATGTTAAAAACTTTGAGTATATCAACGTGTCAAAGTTTTTGAAAAAATGCAATTCTTTGAATATTTTGAAAACGACTCTGAATAACCTTATGATTTTGATAGAGCAGATAGAACATTTGGCTTCTCATCTCATGGTCTTAGTAACTCAAAACGGCTAAAAATGTCAGATAGAACTTTGTAATTCTAAAGTAGCCAAGGGGCAACTTTAGCAACTTATTACCAGTTTTTGAAAGGTTCCTGTGATGATGAACTTTTCCCTGGTGTTACCTTGGTAGAAAGCAATCTCCTCACTGGAAGAAACACAGAGCAAACAAATAGTTACATTCTTGTTCATACTGCTGACTCTTAGACTCTACAAAAAGTAAATAAATATGAACCCCCCCCCGTAAACAAACACTGAACAAGCTAATTCAACCTGACATTTATCTGGATATATGATACGAGGCAGACTCACACACACACACACAAACTACTTGAAAGGGGGGGGGGGGGGTGGCAGAGAGAGAGAGAGAGAGAGAGAGAGAGAAAGGGAGAGAGGGAGGGAGAGAGAGAAAGGGAGAGGGAGAGGGCGAGAGAGAGAGAGAGAGAAGGAAAGGGAGAGGGAGAGAGAGAGAGAAAGAGAGAGAGAGAAAACACACACACACACACTTCACTGTATGAATGTTTGTAGTTGTTCGAATATTCTACACGAGCAAGCAAATACGTGTGAAAGTATGACCAAAAATGTTCAAAGTATCTGCACCAAATTTCGTTTTTGAGGAAAACGACAAATGTTAGCACAACTAAATGTACCCAATTTCTAAAACATTTTCAGACTGAGAAATCACAAAAGATTTCTCTCAAATTGCAATAACATCTTTCGAAGTTTATCAAATTGAACAAGACAATGACAGAATTGAACATGAATACAGCGAGTCTAGTTTAGACTTCGTCTTAATATGAGCTTACCGGCACTTGCAGCACAAATAGACAAGGAAAATATCTAAGATGACAGTCCAAATATTTGACTAAATGAAAATGCTCAGTGCGACTTGTTCCTAAATCCTTACCCGCTTCCCCCAGGACGCCAAATAGAACAATGAGAGTAAAAAACCAAATCTTTTCCCACCGCAGAATATCGACGTTGGTGTCAAGTCTCCATCTTTTCATTTATCTTTAAATGGACATCCCAGTCTCTAGTGCGAAGGCCGCTGATCGCCGCAGTCCCCCCCCCCCCCTAAAATTTTGGGTCTCTCTGTCTAAAGTTGAGGTCTTTCTTAAATGCCTCCAGCATAGGGCAGGCTTGCAGCAGATGGTTCCCAGTTCGGTGTCGAGCAAGAAGTACAACTGTCCAGGAGGAAAAGGAGACCCACCTGTTGGTGATGAGTCGAGAGTTGACGTAGCGGTACTCCCCCTCCAGCTTCTGCTCCGAGACCGTCATACGACCCACGGGACGACGCAGTCTGAGGCAAAGAAAGAGTCTGTCATTTCTGCGCTTCTCTCCACACAGTTATAATCATTAACTCATTGAAGACATGCATTCTGGCCATTCCACAACGCTTGAAGACGTGCTGATTTGGGGCACTCAAAAAAACAAAAAAGAGAAACGTAACTTCAGTACTTATATTGATTTTCTTCTTTTTTTTCTTCACTTCATGAAAGCCTGCAACATTATGCATGCTAGGAAATAAAGAAGAAAGAGAAATATTCATGGTGTTCGGCACAGTGCTCATGTACTGGCCCAAGGTGTTAAAAGATTTAAAAACAGTGATTTTCCTCTCAAACCTTTACCCTTTTTTCATGTATTGGTACATGAGGGAGGTCAAAAGTAAAGAACGCTCTCAGGCAACAATCTCAGCTTTTCTTTTTGTACCCAATTTCCAACAAAACAACAAAGATTAAAAAATCCTCAACCCTAACTGTTTCAGCTGCCAAGAAATGTGAACTTTGCGCTGCACAATTTAACAAACAATGAGGATTCCTAAAATATACTGACCTTGTGAGGAACAATCCAGAAGCAGCCAGATACAAAAGCATGTAGGTTGGGCCCTGAAGACAGTTTAACATACGACACATTTATTTCAGCAAGTACAAATCTTATGCCAAATGAATTCTTTGCCAACAACAAAAAACTGAAATCTAGAAAGAACAATGGACATGGCGTTGAAATCACAGTTTAACTTCCATTGCCAGTTCTTAGAATACCTTGGTGGTTGTTAATCACAAGATGAACAATACGTTAATATATGCAACAAGCTGGGCCCCCTTTCGATGAAAGGAATGATCGGTGCTTTAACATCAACTAAAAGTCATTGGCCTACTATATTTACACTCTACTGGAATGGGACAATAAATCTTGAGAGAATTATAAGGTCTAGATCTATACTCTCAAAACAAAATGCGCCTCGAGAAATATCACTTCCGGATTTTCTAAAATTACAAAGTCTGAAGCGTCGGCCTGCAAAAGCGATCAGCGAAATAAAGAAATTTAGTTTTTTGCAGCAAAACTGTCTCTAATTTGAAAAAACGAAGGGCGTCATGCTCTGGAGAATATTTTAAAGGATCTTTTGGCGAAAACCGCATGTCGATCGATGCAGCCATTAAAAACTCTTTGAATAGCAAAATTCGGCCACCACAAATAGATAATAGATACATGGAATACGCAAATAGGAATACATTGCCTGATGGAGACATATTATTCCCTACAAACGTTAAACATGCAACTTGCAACAAAAGAAAACTGCGCTAATAGCAGACCATTCGGTTTTCCCACTAGCTCAAATATCACTTCCAACAGTGGAACATCTATTGATCTGTCCACAAGGAGCAAGGGTCTAACATATGTGGAAACTGCAATAGGGCAAATATATCATTTTTGTTCTATTTTCAGTAACACTGTGATCCCCTCAGTAAAGATGGTGCCACTATTTCAAACATATCAAAAGGAGGTACAGGTTTAAGGACTACAGAAATGTTTACACATACAGAAAACAACAATTGACATTTCATTCTTCATTGTGCAGTCCCAGCATTCTAAAAGCAGGATCTGCAAAGAATGTATACTTACAAGGAGTGGTTGAATTCTATAAAGGCACAGATATTTTTTTTTCATACACATTACTTACAGTAATACTTTGCAATCTATTTATAAATGAAGAAGAAGAAGCTTAGGAAGCAAAATTCAAATTTCTAAATTTGTAACTCATTTCAGTGTGGTGATTTTTTTTTTTTTACTTGTTCTTAAACTTTAAAAAGTCAGATTAAAAAACAACAACCGCTGACCTACTTACAAAGTCATTATAGGTGTAGGCAATCAGAGTATTTGACATTAAAAGGTTCAGAAGCGAAATCGAGCCTTTCCATTAGCCTAATTTCTTCTTGCGGACATTTCATTCATTTTCTGACAGCCTATTGTACTGTAAGACAAAACTGTTACGTCATATCAAAGCCAGAGTTCATGACCAAACCAAAGATTAAAGACATTGTTGTGGTGCCAAACATAGGTGGTGGCGTTTCGGGGGGGGGGGGGGGGGGGCAAGTGCAACAAAGAAATTTCCATTTTAATATGTTAGTATTCTAAACAATGCCATTCCTCACCCTGCTTGTTAATTCACAGACCCTTCCAAATAGCGCATTATGTATTTTTTAAAAACTTTTTTTTTAAAAAGGAGAAAAGAAAAAGAAAAGAAACCTGGCCCAAGTCAGTGCAATTTTTACAACCCCAAAATCCATTGCGGTATTTCAAAATTTCTCTAGTTATAATCTTCATCTCCCTGATTGGAGTAAAGCTACAGAAAAAGTTACCATGACTCCAATCGCGCCGGCCAGCTTGACGGAGTACAGGATGACATCAAGAATCGGCTGTGGACAAACAAAACAGAAAAGTTCGACAGATAAAACCACAGGTGCCAAAATATCTTGACCTCTTCCAGACTCCGTGGAAATATGTGTTAGTTTAATTTTAGTAGAGGTTTTACGGCGCTCATAACTGCATGAGGTTATATGAGCGCCAAGGGGGGATGTGAACAAAGAAGTCTTTACAGGGAATCAGACTTACTCTCCTCACCTCTCTAGCTTCAACAGCACAAAGTCTGCTTCGACTATCAAGGCACCTTGGAAATAGTGGGTCAGAAGAGTGTGACAAACATACAAAAGAAGTAGAGGAAAAATGACAATAGTAAGGATTAGGAAAGAAAAAGCAGCAGTTCCCTCTTGTAGATCAGGCACAGTTATGAGCGTGACATTGATGAATCAGCCCATTTACAATTATACTGGGAATGAACGAGAAATGTACTCCCTTTGGGAATGGCCTAAAGACACTTCAGTCAGTGGCACCGCCCCGGGGGGTGAAATATGTGTGTGGGGACTCAAAATTTACAGATCAAATAATCTAATACATCTTGAATCAAAACTGTGTTTGTGTAAAGTGCAGTATGACATGAACAAAGACATTAAAATGTAAATAAATCTATAAGCAGGAACATACTACCTCACAGACGAAAGCAATTTCTGAAGTCAGGGGCAACTTCCCGACAATTTCAGAAATCCAGATTTCCGATTTTACCGGACAATCTGATAAAACCACTAAACATGCCAGTCATGAATATTTCGAAATGAGTCAAACGGTAAGCGACTATCACTCCAGTCAAATACATCATCTTAAGCGTCAGGACTGACCTTGCTGAGGTTAGAGTAGAGCTCGGCCACGGAGTCGCAGAACTTCTCCGTGTCCTGGGTCAGCAGCTGGTCAGCGTTGGAGATGCGGTTGTCCAAGTTGCTCATCTTGTAGAAAGTGAAACCCCTGGGACAGAACAGATCGCCCCACAGGGTTAACGCTCTTCGCTTCTTTAAAGGAGATCAGAAAGTGCTCGGCGGGTGTCACAGTAATTGGCGCTCATACGACCTTATGCAGTTGCGAGTGCCGTAAAACCTCTACTAAACAAACATGTCACAGTAAGGTTTAAGATTTTTATTCTTCCTCTGTTGTCTCTGTCTCTCAGTCTTGCTTTTTCCTTGCATTAAATGATCTTTACTGCCCTGATTAGCTTTTCTTCACTCAAACAAACAAACAAACAAACTAACAAATAGACAGATGATCAGAGTAGCAAAATTCAGTTGTTCTGTCTATCCAGAATGATGGTACTGAAAAAGTGTCGGGCGACTCTTGCACTTTTCCTCTTTCCACAGATACATTACTCCTTAAATACATCAAACAAGACAGATGGGTATTACTTCATTAAAAGCAAGACAAATAATTTAAAGACGACACCAATAACTCAATATGCCCCCAAATTTGCCTAGCTCCTGATTCCACCGTGTCTTGACACAAATGTGTAACACATCCGAGTGACAGCTCACATGACATGTGACACAAAAACAGAACCCTCTCAGTTTTAGTTTTAGAAACAGTTATATTTTTTTTTATAGTAGAGGGTTTTACGGTGCTCGCAACTGCATAAGGTCATATGAGCGCCAAGGGGTGGGTGTCAACAGAGAAGTCTTTACAGGGAATCAGACTTATTCTGCTCACCTATCTAGCATCGACAGCACAAGGTTCGCTTCGACTATCAAGGCACCCCAAAAATAGCAGTTCACAAGAGTGACAAACATACAAAAGAAGTAGAGGAAAAATGACAATAGTAAGGATTAGGAAAGAAAAAGCAGCAGTTCCCAGTTGTAGATCAGGCACAGTTATGAGCGTGACATTAATCAGCCTATTTACAATTCTACTGTGCTTGAACGCGAAATGTCCCCCCTTTGGGAATGGCCTAAAGACACTACAGTCAGTGGCTTTTTGGAAACAGCTTTTCGACACTTCACAAACAGGTCATAAAAAAGTCATAAAGATTAGAGGCGTCACTTCCAGATGGTAACATACTGTGCAAAGAAAACAAGGAGGAGAGATAGAGACAACTGATGTCAAATTGGAAAAAAGGAGAAAACCACACCAGAGCACACACCAACTGTGATGTCAAGGGACATGACTCTTGTCTTTACTGTGGGGACAAGATAATTAAGGGAGTGGCACGCCCTTGGATGACGTCAAATGTACCGCGGGAACCTAGGCGGAGATCGTCTGAGAGACTCACTGAGAGATTCAGTCAGACTCAGAACCACGACAAGGCAGCACGTATCTTGGACGGGGGCCCCCTGACAGACCCGACTCATCGGACCGCCAGGTACCTTTACATGGTGCCAAAAGGACAGCCAGTTTGGGTTAAAACCCTAAGGGATGCCAAGGCTACGGTTGTAGACAGATCGAGAGACAGATCATACCTCTTGAAGACGGACAACGGCTTGAAGATTCGTAATCGTCACCAGATCTGGCTGAGGCCGGAAGGCGACAACAGTAACCATCTTTACACAACCAGCCACATAGAACCCTCTGGCTGGCTATGAAAAAAAACCCAAGAGGGACTTACTTGAGGTATCTGTCATACAGATGCTTGGACAAACGCATGCGGAATCTCAGCTTCAACATGTTCAGCCCATACTGAGGACGGAAAATAAAAATATCTCAATAATTGTTGCTGACAGTGACCAAGTCATTGTTATGTTTGTTTTATGTTTTAGTAGAGGTTTACGGTGCTCGCAACTGCATAAGGTCATATGATCGCCAGAAGATAAGAGGCTTTACAAGAGGGTAACAAACATAAAAAAGAAGAAGGGCAGATAAGGACGACAGATGTTTGATAGGAAAGAAGAAGCAAACCACACCAGAGCACCTGCCAACCACCCACAGTGATAGTCAGTAATCAGGGATGCCAGGAGGATTTACTGAATATACTTGTAAATTAACGAAGCTGTATCGGCAAATGAAAAGACAGTCAACATACAAAACGATTATACGGGTTTACCAGAAAACAAATTAATGCTTAGAATAATAACTGTACCCTTCGTGAAAATAATGGAAATAACAGCATCAATAAATATTCAAATAACAACAACTTGGTTTGAGCCCTTTGATCCAAAGCCAAGTCTATGATACACCCTTGTCCAGATTTAAACATGCTTCCATAGAGCTGACCTTTTTTTTCTTCTTTGTTTTGGTAAGATTTTTACGGCACTTGCAACACATTAAAGTTATACAAGGGCCCAAAATTAGAGGCATTACAAGAGAGTAAAAAACACCAAAAAAAAGGAAATGTTTGATAGGAAAGAAAGAGCAAACTACACCAGAGCACCCGCCAACCACCCACAAAGCTGACCATAAATCAAAGAACAAAACAATGAACATGTAGATTGTTTGTTTTAAAAAAATAGTTTTAGTAAGAGATTTATGGCCAGTTTGAAGTCTTTTAGCTTTCTCCAGTGATATTCCTGATAACAAGGAGTTACAATAATTCAGTTTTGATAAAATTAAGCTAGTTATTAGTAAAGCAGAAGTATTGATCAGATGACGTATTTTACTAATTTTTCTTATTTCTAAATACATGCAGCTGATCAGATGATTTACCTCAGCCGACATTGACAAACTGGAATCAAAATAGATGCCAAGATTCTTAACTTTTCTTGAAAATGCAATTTCCGCATCACCAATTGTAATGTGATCGTGGTCAACCTCTTTAACAAACTTTGCACTGCCTGCCAGAATGACTTCAGTTTTATCATCATTCAACATCAATTTGTTTTTGTTTATCCAGTTTTTCACTGAGGCAATACAATTTTCAGCACGATGGACAAGTTCATCTAAGTTGGTAAACATTGTTGAACCATAAATTTGGGTATCATCAGCATAGAAATGGTACTTTAAGTCATACTTAACTATTTCCTTGACGAGTGGATGAGTATAAATGGTCAACAAAACAGGACATGTCACCATTCAGACATCAAGCCACAAACTTATACTTTTCTGAACTAGATTTTTGCTGACGAAAAAAACAACAACAAGAAACAAACAAAAGACCTCAGAACCTTTCTTTCCCACTCACCTTGAGAATGTTGTTCACAGTGGAGATCTGGGGAAAAAAGAAAAAGAGAGAATCAGAACCAATCCCTTCTACAATTCAAGACAATTTTGGGTAAAGGTAAAATGGTATGGGCATGTCACAAGATCCACAGGACTTGACAAAACAATCCTGCAAGGAACCGCACAAGGAAAGAGAAAGAGAGGAAGGCAGAGACGGAGATGGGAGGACAACGTTACAGAGTGGACAGGAAAGATGATGGGTGACAATCTGAGGAAAGCAGAGGACAAAAATAGATGGCGAGAGCTGGTTTTCAGATGCAATTTTTGTTTTGTGCAAGATATCACAGTCTCACATATGCAGCCCCAGATATATGTACAAGGTGAAGTAAATTCAGAAGGGGGGGGGGGGGGGGGGAGGGGCTAAAGTTTACTTTAACCAGTTTCTAAAGGCGGTCTTACATATCAATGTTACCCCAAACACTAGCAACGACTCTCTCCAATAAAGGCGATCACCTGCATCCCCCACCCCAAAAAAAAATCTTTCCCGAATGAAAAAAAAAGCAGTGAACAAAAGGAAAAAAAAAAGAACTATACTCCATTTGTGAAATTTAAATCCACACCTCGTTGTTTGTTTTTGTTTTTGTTTTAGTAGAGGTTTTTCGGCGCTCGCAACTGCATAAGGTCATGTGAGTGCCAGAGGAATAGAGGTGTTACAAGAGAGTAACAAACACAAAAAAGGAGGGCAGATAAGGACGATAGATGTTTGATAGGAAAGAAGGAGCAAACCACACCGGAGCACCCACCAACCACCAACGCCCAAAGTGTACTAAAGCAAAGAGGGCAATTTGGACAAAATAGTTCTGAGGCGACCATAATATTAATATGTAAAACAATAAAGTGAGGGGAAATGCAGCAAAGAAATATTCTAATTAATGGACAGTACCTTTGCCTTTTCGTATGAGCATTTTTATTGTCTGAAAGAATGTTGCTGTTAAAAAGTGTGCACATAATGAATTTGTATGGTGTTAGTATGAATGCGTTTTTAATCTCCTATGTACGCCTTGGGCCCATGTTGTGGGGAAAGGCGGGATACAAATGCTCTTATTATTATTATTATTATTAATTTTCTCCATTGCACTTACTGCGGGCATGGCATAGATGAATTTAAACAGCAGGTTCTTGAAATCCTCACCATTCCTGCCAATGATTGCACTGAAGACAAAAAAAATAAAAAAATCCAAACTGTTAGTGTATTACCGAAGGCACACATAAACAAACAGAATGTTTAGTTTTAGTAAGTGTGTTACGGCACTTGCAACACAATAAGGTCATATGAGCGCCAGAAGATTAGAGGTGTTACAAGAGAGTAACAAACACAAAAAAGAAGGAGGGGAGATAAAGACGATAGATGTTGGTTAGGAAAGAAGGAGCAAACCACACCAGAGCACCCGCCAACCACCAACAACAAACAAAAGGATAGCTTGAGGCTTTGTTTGTTTGAGTACAGAGAACCTCATCCGCACAGTAACTGTCCTTTAGTTTTAGTTTTAGTAGAGATTTTACGGCGCTTGCAACTGCATAAGGTCATATGAGCGCTAGAAGATTAGAGGTGTTACAAGAGAGTAACAAACATAAACAAGAAGGAGGGGGAGATAAGGATGATAGATGTTTGATAGGAAAGAAGGAGCAAACCACACCAGAGCACCCGCCAACCACCCACACAAACAGTTGTAAACCATACTCACAGCTAAGAGAACTTAGTAACCACTAGGGACACAAACGAGTAAATTTTCAGAGATAACTTCCACGTTTACCTCATCCCCTTATTTCTCGGACAATCCCGTGAGGCCTAGTTTACTCGGTAAAAGTAATGTGTAAGAACATGACTGTAGCTTAAGACAATGACACCACAGACAAATTAAAAAAGCAAGTAAAAGACTTTCATCTGTTTTAACAACTTCCAACAAAAATGTTGTTACTCAATAACACACACGTACGAGGCAGATATACGGAAAGGAAATTTTTACACAAGTAGAGAGAGGGAAGAACTTGTACTGATGTTTTTATGCAAATGATAAACAAAAACACAAAACAAAACAAAACTGATGTAAAAAATTAGTTTAAAAAAAAAAAGGAATTAAAGAGCACACAAGGGTGATTAATCTCGACAAAGTGAAAGAACCAATTTTGTCAGGAGACGACATTCAAAATGACAGTCGAATTGATAGAACATAAAAAACAAATATTTGACCCTAGACATGCGAGAGGCTGACAGAAAGAGTCTGGCTCACAGATAGGCTACCACAGCAGATACTGAGGACAAGAACAGAGATTACAAA